CATGAAATATGACTCATATTTCTGAACACCATCTGCAAGTTTACAGCATAACCTCAACCATCTGTGTCAGTATTCAAGTACTTCATAAAATATGTGGCTATTTGCTGTGTGAATCATAATTTTGGACAAAAATGAACTACAAAACCTATTAAAATAATGCAAAACAGAGGCAAAACACAAATTACTCTCTAATTTCAGACATTTTAGACCCACTTGATCTGTTAAGGTGTAGTTGAGCAAGGCACTGATACTGATATATTTAAAATTACAGAAATGCTCCCTACATGCGGCCTAAATACTAGTTGTATGAGTGTGTGTGTGTGTGTGGGGGGGGGGTCAGTACATAGATTTCTGAAAACTAGTAAAGGTTAACAATAAGGAAGTTGAAAAAAGTTTAGACCATTTACCATTTAAGAAGTACAATATGTCCTTTTACAAGGTTTCCGAGTTGAGCTGCCGGTTGAGAGTGTTATTGATCTTCTGAATATGCACATTTCCACAAATGTCAAAGTATTCCCTTATTAGTTGAAGAAAAGGTTTACAGCACGACTAAAACACACCAAAAATAATATCTCGTTATTTTAACTGGCTGTAGTTCCTATAAGTAAGCTAATATGGCCCAGTGGGTTATTCTAACTTTGTATAAATTCAGTCATATGTGAAGACCAAAGTTACAACTAATTATAATATCCACATTAATTTAGGACTAGACTGGGATTAAATACTGAATAATTCATTTTTAAACAGAAGCCTCAGAGTAATGATGAATATTGTGCAATGCACGATAAAAATTCTGCCCACATGGTGGGAAAAATGGCTTGAAAGCTGGCCCAATGGGTAAGTAAATATTATGAAAAGGATAAGCCGGGGTCACCAACTTTGCCTCATTCCTTTGTCTGAATGTCTGAGCTGAGCTGCCTTCTGCTGCCTCAGTCCTGCCTCACACTGCTCAGCTCTTAATTTAGCCCCCACTGTGCTCAAACTGATTACAAAGGCCTGCAACAGGGCAAGGTGCACGATGGTGGACGATTCTACAAGCATGAAGTGGCAGAAGGACAGGGCTAAATCAAGACACATCCCTGAGCTGATACATGCTGAATGGAACCAATAGAGAACATGGAGCAAGGTCGACATCCATTAGCCATGCCTTGAAGTCACAGATGGATAACTCCACAACAGAAAGGCCAGCGAGTAGCAATCCTGTCCTCCAATTGAGATGTCTTTGTGTGTAAGCACATGACACACATGCTTAAAGAGCTGACGCATGGAACAAATGCATTACAACTGAAGTGGTTTAGCTGATGCAAGACTTAAATCGTGAGGTTTCAACAGCTGCGGCTCAGAGATGAGGAAGTAGCAGTCTATTAACCCCTCCCGACCAACACCAGCACAGCCATCATGCTGAAGTATTCTTTGGCAAAACACTAAACCCCATATTCAACCTGCTCTACACAATGAGACTTTTCATTAAATAAATTGTGATGCCAGTAACCATTACACCATGGTGGCTCAGAGGCCAAAACCTTATGCAACTGGACTGTTGTGAGTTCAATTCACATTTTCTTAGCTGCCATAAGTTGTAAGCTCCTGAGAAAAACACTTAACCCTGGGTGTCATTTCACCATGTGGCTATCGCTCTATTTGAAACAGTTTGAGTGCTCAGTATAAGTTTGAAGTGTGTAATTGAAATTCAGTCCATTATTACTATAACAAGTTGAAATACAGTATATTTACATACACAGTATAGAAACACAGTTTATGTAGATAGCACATATAACGTTTATTTATCCTTTCTGTTTGACATTCATATGAAATTCAAATATGCCAAAACATTACCAATTTTTTTAGTAATGATCAAGATCATTTTTGGAATATTTCAAAAATAGTTTCCTCAAAGTTAGAGGTTTAGATTGATTTCCATAACATTTCAACCATTTCCTTTATATGATTTGGATGCCCTCTAACCAGTGTATGATAATAGTTTGTTGAAATTTAACACCATTCCCTCTGAACAGAACTGTTCCGTGTTGTGCAGTCCCTTCTTGCACACTGATTTTCAAATGAGTGCTTTGTCATAGCCACCAATCAGCATTGACTCTGCTGCTTTAGGTCACTTTGTACTGAAGCTTAGGCTTATATTCAACTTGAAGACGCTTGCCTGCCTACCAGTCACCCTTTCCCTGCTCCAGCCTAAGCCCTTAACTCAGCAAATTATCACTCAAGACTGCATTGAACTTTCAAAGTCAACAATGTTCTACCTTTCTTCCATTCTTCAACCTCCATTCCGCCACGAATGTCAGACTCTTGAGGGTAGAGATATCTAACCTAGATCTACCTGCTTACACAGATCCATTACATTCAGCACCAGCATCCACAACTGGGGTCTGAGCGCCAAATATTTATGTCCTTACGTTGGTCAAACATTCTAATTGCTTAGTTTCTCTGTGTTAGTCTTACCAGGTTGAAACTAATTTGGTGGTATGCATATCTTATTTTCCATTTGAAGGGATCTTTTAGGATTTTTTGTTATTGTTTTTTTTTGTTCTAGGCTTATATCTTGAGATGTTGCTGTAACTTTTACACATGTTTTTCCTCCATTATTGTATCTGGTAAGCTTACTGGTTCCACCTGCAGCACTAAACCTCAGCAACAAATGGACGAGTTTTCATGCAGGTCAGTTTATTAGAGATCTAAGATATTCAAAAGATTTGGAAACCACTAATAGAATAAGCTGTAGCCTAAACACAACCATTCTTCCTCAATTTAAAACTTATAGATAGAACTTCTGCTCTCTTTTTCATTAATTCCATCTGTTAATCACTCCCTTGTTACTGTGTGCTTACCAGCGCAAATTGGTGTTAAACATAATCTGCAATTTATTAACTCTGAAAATAATTCTGTGAATTTTGTTTTATCCATAAATCTGAGATATCACAGTCAGCTATAAGCTTCAAGCTGCCTGGATGTCATGTTCACATTATCAGTCATCAGCACACTCTGAATGTCTCATTATTAACTCACTTTGCAAGCAAGATAAACTGTCGCAAGATTTGCAAATTAACAAACTCAAAAAATTATATCATGCAAGAGGCCAACATACCAATTTCCACAGGAGCCTTTCCAGATGGGTACTGTGTAGAATTGAAATTTAACTACATGTATCAATCTGGCTTATGCTAGGTTAAATAGTAACACTTCCTTTTATTTACTCTGGATACCAAATTTTTTTATTTGGCTTTCCACCTTTTACAAAAACACCTCAGTCAAACTATGCTTTTTTTTGCTATCCTGGCTGCGGTTGCCATTGCTACCCATGAAATCCATTCTTCAGTTGGCTGATATAAAAACTTAATGACATTCATGCAGTGCTTGGCATTCACTATCCATGGTATAAGTTGAGTGTAAAGTTTGCCAAACTTGAGATGGAGCCTTGAATGCAAACTTTACAATACAGCTGTGATCAAGGGGAATTGAGTAAAGCTGTACTTAAAGGCACTGATTCCCAACCTCCTGTACTCATACCCCTAGTGGTCTACAAGTGCATCTCAGGGAGTATTTTAAAATATTTTATTTCTCAGGTAATAAAATAAAATAGGTCTGGGATTTGTTCTGCTTTGTGAGGAACCACCTTAAAATTAAAACAAGCTTTTTTTTTTCACTAAAAAGTTATTTATTCCTATATGTTTGAGTTCACCTTCAGCTCTGACCCAAACCAAGCAGAGGAGCAGAATGGATGTAGAGCGCAGCATCGTATCAGCTGTTTTTTCCACACCTGAACTCATCAAAACGTTTCAGGTGTCATGAATGATGAAAACAATACAAAACAAATGGAGTGAGTCTGACTACAATTTTTGTTGAGTATTTTGTTCAAAAGTTTAAATGTTTAAATAGTAAACTTGAGGTGGAGCCTTGACAACAAACTTTACAATACAGCTCTTATTAAGGGGATGTGAGTGCAGCTGTTTGCTCAAATTTTAATGTGATTATAGGGGAGTTACTCACAGGTACTCCAGTTTTATAAAGGGAGATTTATAGTATGATTTTATTTTGCATTTATTTGGATTCCTTACTAACTTCCAGGCAATAACTATGTTGTTGTTGTTTTTTTTTACATGAGTTGGAAAGAATAAAATGCCAAAGAATTAAATGCTCAAGTTAAAAACTAGTTAGTTATTGTACATTCCAATTTTCAACAGTCATCAATAATTTTGGGTGAGGAAGGTACTGAGGAAGTCCCAAAAAAATTTGAACCACTGCTTTAACGTAGAGCTTAAAGTACCTTGCGGTGGGGGTGCTCTATATTTCATATATAAACAATTTCTACCACAATTTATTTATGCCGGAAAAACAACAACAAGAAAAACAGTCATTTCTGTTTATACTCTGTTTTGCTAACAATATTTATGACCAGGTGTAGATGGTCTACTGCAGAATTATTAGGGAAAAAAATGTTTCTACTTGAAGAGAAAGTCTTGCATTAAATAAAGAATGGATTCCTTAATGGCTCCATATAATAGCAGAATCTGTCCTCTTCCACTGCTTAAAGTCCTAAAGGACCACAAACCTGCATGGCAATGACGGTGCCAATGTCATCCTGTCACCTGGGCTGAGCCATTATTACACAGGCATTCTTAATAGCCCTATAGATTAAAGTCCAGAGGAACAAGACACCAACAGATTAAAAAAAGAAAGATAGGAAAGAGGATGATGAATTGCCAGGGATTGCTAGGCAATCATGCATAAATTACTAGGATGTTCTTAGGTATAATAACCGGTTTTAAGTGATCGCTCACTCCTGGGAAGCTGTCGTGTAAGTAGAAGCGCGTTGGGGCACGGGGGGAAAAGAGATGGTTGGCGGGTAAAGAAAGGAGCGGGTCGCAGCTGTCTACTCAATCACATCACCGTCAAGGGTATCACCCTGACACTGTCTCCACTCCATGCCCTCAGCATTCACACAAATCTCCTGATAGACAGACGTAGCAGTCAAACAGCACCCTCACCCCAATGTTGAGGCCCCTAAGGTTCCCCCTGGCACGTCTCTGCGGCCCCGGCGGCAGCTGCTGCGAGCACCAGCAATAACTGATTATTCAGGATCGAGACTAACAAGAATCTGCCATGTGGATCTGCAAACAACATGTTCTTGTTGTGAATACATCATGAAGCATAGGGGAACAGGCTGTCTTGTTTTTTTCTTTCTCACAGGACTTAATGCAGATTCTATTGGAGATTCGGTAGAAATCGCTTTAATGAAATAATGAAAAACTCAAGAGTTTGACTTTGTTTAAACTCTTAACTGTAACATGTGGCTAGTGATTTTACATAATAATATATCATATTTCATTATTCTTTATATATTTTGTCATCTTATATGGTATTTTAAAAATGTAAACAAAGTTCAAAGAAAATACTCTATGTCTTTGCTTATATTTTATTCAAGTTCAGAACAGCAAATCCAGCTGTTTCCTGCTTTTTCTGGAGCCATGCTTGATGGAAGATATGAAAACCTGAATAAATATTGCTCATTTAGGAGTAAAGAGAAACTCATTAAAAATCATTCTTCAGTTGGCTCATTTAGTGTAAATACACAATGACATTCATGCAGTGCTTGGCATTGACTATCTATGGTGTAATGTGAGTGCGAAGTTTGCCAAACTTTAGGTGGAAAATATTTATCCATATGAAAAGAAAAACATTGATCAACATTATGGACTTTTCTGAGCAGACGCTCAGGTTTAGAGCAGCATCAAGGGTATAGATGTTAAAAAAGTTGTTCTAATCAAATCATAACAAGAGTGTAACACTAATTATATAATACATTTAGAAATAAAACAGTTCTGTAAAATTATTAGCCATCTTTCCAAAACACATCAAGGGAAAATGTGTTTATTTTAATTGAGTGATTTATCCATAACTGTCATAATTCATTGTTTGTCAAGGACCAAATACAGTGAGAAGATCGCAGCTACATCAAACTTGCCTGAAAAGTGAATAGAGAATCCTTATTTTTATATATATACATTAGATATATTTTTTATGTTCTAAGAGGATGTTCCCTTTAGCATAAATTGTTTATCAGACCAGTGGTCAGGTTGGCCTGAGTAGAACAGCTTCCACTATAATTTATGCTTATATCAATGATTTGGTTAAACATGACTGGAATAAATTCTATTATATACTTAAAGATGTTTCTGTTTTCTTTATGATTACTGCAAGAATACATCCTCCTAAATTTAAGAACCAGGTACAGAACAATATCGAATGTAGGTATGACTTGAAAGTGTGTGTATTCTTCTCAAAATGAGTCATTATAAGCACTCTACCATGTCATTGCTTCTTTAGGTGCCATCTGTGACAACTCAAACAGTGCACAGTTTGCAGGGTTCATGGTATGTACAGTCGACTGTCATCCAAAGTTAGACCCCTGGGTACCATTTCTATGGTTGGTGCAACACTTAAGGGTCTACACATTAGTCTCCCTTCACCAGATCCCTCTTTGTCAGCATCCTCCTAGTACCTGGCTTTAAACTGGGATCTTGCAGTCTTTGTTTCTTCAATTTCTCAGCTTTCTCTCTTTCACTGCACTTAAACCGTAATGTTAGCATATTAAAGAGCTCTGAAAAACAGCAAAACCCCGCCACTTTACTCAGTAGTTTACACAATGCTCAATTAGGCTACAAATTCAAGAGGTTGCCAACCAACCCACCCAATCAAGCATATGCACAGATGCAAAAAGAAATTGAGTGCTTTTCTTCTGTGACTCATTACAGATTTGATAAGCAGAGAATGAAAGCAATAAGATAAAACTATGAAAGGATACACAGGTTGATATTTACACTGCGGCACAGGTTTGGAGAGGATTAATGGTTCCATCCCACCTTCCATTAATCCAAGAAAATGCTATACAGCAGCATCCTTTACTTGTCAATTTTTTCTCTCTCTCTCTGTCTGATATCCCCAGTGAAACTGAGCTCAAAGCAGGGCTTTTGTTTGTAGATACAAGGCCTCTCCAGCAGCATATAGGGGGAAAAAAGGGCTGGAGCACAAAGAAAGGGTGGGAAAGAAACAGAGAGAACCAGTAAAAATTTGGAGCTTCAGGCAAGAATCAAAGAGATGGTAGTTGCTCGTTTTCAAATTGTAAAAATTCTTTGGAACCAAAATGCACAAAACATTTAATCAATAAAATACGCTCACTTAAGTTCTCTTGTGCAGAGAGCTCATTTGGTGCTACCAAGGCATTTGCTGAAAAACTTAAACTGCAGCCTGAGGGTTATCTTTGCCTACCTACACAGGTTAAGTCAGTGAGCTCCTGATTACTTCTCTGGCATGACCTCAGAAGAAATTGCATCAAAGGCAACAGACTGGTGCACAGAAGAGAGGACACAAATCAGACTTAGTTGCGAGCTCACAAAGGGGTGAAGCGTTGAGGAGTGCTATCCAAGCCTCACACATCCAGGAGGGCCTTCAGTAAGCAGTCAGCAACATAACAAATTCACCAGGCATGCACAGCAGATATGCAACATGAAAAGACAGCTGAGCTAAGAGTTTGCTCACACCTCGAGGGTAAAATTAGTATCTAACACTCAGGTACCATCTAACATGCAGTACACCATAGTACATAGTCACCAATAGAAAGGAACAGAAATAAATGTGTGCTGAAGGACAGTTCAACACTATCAGGTTAAAACAAATGAAAGATAGAAACAAATGTGCCCTCATGTACCATTTTCTTTTCTGTTTAATCTGTCCTTAAACACATTTCCCTGAGGTGCCACAGGACTTTAGGGAAATATATGCAATAGACAACCTTTTCTGCTTTTGTGGGTAAGATATGCAACAGCAGATCCTGGGTATTGAGTTGGAAAACAAGGGAAGGAAAAAACAGCTTACTGTAGAATCCAATAAATCGTGCTTACCAGTAAGCAGGGTCTAAACAGTGTTTAAACATTCAAGGAGATACAATTCTGATGAATAGTTAAGAATAGGTGAGCTGCATCTTCCATCATCCTGACATTGTATGTATAGACATAGCTGCTTCAAGGTAACAGAAGGGTTCAATTATTAGATAGTTTTTGTTTTTGCTTTTAAAAATGCATTGTGCATGTGTGTGTGTGTGTGTGTGTGTGTGTGTGTGTGTGTGTGTGTGTGTGTGTGTGTGTGTGTGTGTGTGTGTGTGTGTGTGTGTGTGTGTGTGTGTGTGTGTGTGTGTGTGCGTGTGTGTGTGTGTGTATGTGTATGTTACTTATGAGAAACCAAACTGGGATTTTTACAAAACACTTTCTGTTTAAAAAATTTTTAAAATATTACAAAATAATCATTATTGGTCAGTGTTTAATTTACTCACTTAGAAGTTAAAATTATATTCATTTGTAATTTTTTAAGTTTTCATTTGAAGAGTGAATATTTTCATAATAATTTAAACAGACAGAATGAACTTTTCATTTGACCTTTAATACTGTTGAGATTGTATTGAGTGAGACAGATTATTTCTAATACATGATAATAAAGTGTACATCTTATGCATTATATTATATTATGAACAGTTTGATTAGCCATTGAGTAGGTCTGTATCACCAGGTTGCAGGAGTTCTACTGGCTGTTGCGTAGGTTCATTCTTAAATCTGCTTGATTGTGCTGGTGTTGTGGTTTGACTGGAATGGCGGAAGACTGAAAATTTGGGGTGTGCTGGACCTGCCCTGTAGATTGGGAGCCTTTGAGGTCTGCATCCTAGTATTGCTAGGGTGTCCAACTCCCTCCATGCAGCTGCTCCACTGCCACCACATAGGTCACACTTAAAGCAACGTTAAGGTAGGGTAATGCATAACATCTGACAATCTGCAAGAAAGATATCCACCCATCACAACGTCTGCTGCTTTTATACTCTATGCTGTTTTTTGAAGCGTATGGCGATCTCACCTTAAATAGATTTTTGTACATGACTAAAGGGATACACGCCCATTGAGGTAGTTTAAAGTCTATTTTTCGCACAAAATTAAAGCGATAAACGCAAATCTGACATCTGCATATTGACTATGGGTGTGCTGGTCTGACGAGGTTTGCTCATCTGACAGAACACCGGGTCCAGAGGGGGCATGTTCGGTACAAACCACAAGCTGACAACACCACACCACATGAGGAAGTAGAAAACACTCTGTTTTAATGATAATAAATTAACTTTATTGATCTCACATTGGAGAAATTTACCTCTGCATTTAACCCATCCGCTTGGGGAGCAGTGGGCTGCAATTGTGGAGCGCTCGAGGAGCAATCAGAAGTTAAGGGTCTTTCTCAGGGACCCAGAGTGGCAGCCTGTTGGAGTCGGTTTCAAACTCACAACCTCAGGATTCCAAGCTCTATGCACTAATGACTATGCCACCACTTCCATGTTTATAGCTTTTTTAAAGCCTATTCGTGTCATTCAGGAATGACAGCAATTTCTTTTTTGCCCACAACCCGTGGGTAATGTTGCTATTTATGGGATAATGCAAAGGAAATCTCTAGATGTTTACGATTGCAAATCCTTATAGGAGCTGTTGCTCGCTGGCCATGTTTTTCTATGCGGATCAATCCATGTTGTTAAATATTTTCCTAGATGTGACATGTGTTAATTCCGTCTCCACAGTAGCTGCATGGAGGGGTGTGGAAGCTATAAATTGCGTAATTTGACCTCACAGATTTGTCTGGCATAAATCAACTATAGCTTAATTTGAGATACATAAAAAATGTTTTCAGGTCAACATACAGGAATTGGCATATATCGATGCTTTATGTGGGCTGCTATTCTCAAAAACTCCTATATGTAATTTGAGGTGGTTAGATTTATCACTATCACTCAGCCTGAGCTCTCCTTAAACATGAGATTCAGCCGAGTGAAAGTTATTATGCAATAAAACAGATATGACACCTGCCTGATCAGACATATTTCTGACTCTCAGATGTAAGATTTAACCTAGAGTTGTACATTTGGCCCTGTCTTTACAAAAAACTCCATGACTTCTCAATCAGCTGGTTAAAAATCGTCTGCAATCAGATTTGAAAAAAAACAGTGGGGAACTGTTGTTGCAAAGC